TGCTAATTTCTTTCTCTTTTAACTTCAAACTTGACAGAGATAGGTCCATAGTTACTCTTGAACTTGAATAGGAAGTCATATACTGGCAATTTACTGTGACCTTGAAATTGACCCTTGACCTACCTTACGAAGAACTTAAATTTGATTGTACCATATATATTTTTTGCAATAGTTTAAAAATTCTTGTTGATTGCATTTTTACAGCTTGTCAAGCACAAAACTGGTGGCTGTGTCCCTTATTTTGTGTATGTGGGGGTCTATACGAATGCGCTTGCTCCAGCTGGTGGTACAATATTCGGAGGCGGTATCGCCTCTCTGATCCTCTAGTTAAATTTGAATCTTTCTAATTATGTGATGTATCAAAACTTGGGGTGGGTGGTGAAGAAACATATCTCCAATTTACCCACTTATTTGACTGTAGATTGAAATAGAATAGCCAAAATAAGTTTCAAGGCTGATATTTTGATTTATTCCTTATTTGTTGCAAGCAGACAAACACGGTAAGGTGGTAGCACTAGGGGGTAATGATTATGTTGTTATTATTTTCTGTACTATTTTATTTAGTTATGAAGAGCATCTCATTTTTATTTTCATATTTGGCTAACATAGCATCTGGAGAATATTGCAATGTTGATTATTGCCTGTATTTATTTTGTGATGCAGTGTTTTTATTTTCCACCCAATAAAAAAAAAGATCCCAGAGAAAATTTGAGTGTTAGTGTAGAAATATCTGTATAAACATGTATGCGCAGTTCTCTAGGTGAATCAAAATTTAAGATTCAAAGTAATTTTTAGTAATGTTCTGTACAATAACTGACTGTGGTTTTAGTAGGACAAAAGCTATAGATGTTTGGTGTAGGATATGTGTGTTGTGAATTATATTGTCTTATGGTCACAGTAGATCATATCTCTGTGCAATTTCTTGATAAAGGTAAGTAAATCTAAGAATGTGCTGCAGAAAGTTATTTTTATTCTGACATGTTAAAACCATATCCTGCCAGGATTATATTTACATTTAGACATAATTAACACAGGTACTAATTTGTTAATTTTTATGTTTTAGATCATTTTAATCAGTTACAGGTCAATTGGAAATAATTAACCTAGTTTAAATCTTGTATAATTACAGCTTTTTTGCATGAGGCACAAGAATATTATCAGCACAGTTTTTGAAACAAAATAAACAAATTGCCATCATTATGCACTTACTGGTGTCGAGTTAAGTATCATTTCAGGGGGAAAAAGTAACACATTTGAAAGTATTCTATATTATAAAGGTGTAGATTAATATGAATATCAGTGAATATGTATGTGTAATATTTTAGGAATCCACAGATGAGAAAACATACTTCATCAAAATCCATGTTCCATGGGAGGTAATGCTCAGATACGCTGAGATGATGAGAATGAAAATGCCTATTAAGGTCAGTCCTGTCATTATACACTTTGGGTCTATTCCCACAACTTTGGATCGATCTATCACCGCAGGGAGTCTCACCAGACTACCGCCAGATAATCCCCCTTAAGTGTCCGTCCCCGCCCACTACAAGCCGTAAGGGGCAATTAACTTTCGTGTCCGCCCGGCTGACAGCTATTCAGGGCGAGTTAGATCGATCCAAAGTGGGTCGATCTAATCTATGGAAATGGGGTGTTTGACACAATTTTTGATTAGTATAGCCAAACACATTTTAAATTCTTATAGAAAGTTTAAAAAAGTGTCTTTATGTATGACAATGTCAGCTACAATGAAATTGTACTACAGTAAATTTCATTTTGTCTTGCAGGAGTATTATTATCTTGAAATATGTCTGTTATTCCTTTTCAGTTGTTTATGTTGAACAGTCTTTATATATGCATTATTTTATGATTTAAATCATACTTTTCATTATTTTTCGCGATAATTTTAGGAAAATGACATAGACCCCACAGATGACTCTGAGAAGACTTGCCCCAATCCATTTGCTGTGGATGAGGACATCATAAAGCCAGAACCCAATTATTTCACAGCTGCCTTTGACAGAGAGAGGATGAAACAGTCAGTAGTCACACACCATTTACAAACCTGTCTTGTGTGCATGTTGTCAAGAACCCATTACTGGTTGAACAGCTTGTGAATGATATGGTTGAGCATTCTGATTAAGCTTTCTTAAAATGGCATTTTGATATACTTTGGGAGCAGGTCTTAATTAAGAGGGGCACGATCTGTTGACATTCTTCAACATATGTCTTGGTCTCATCATTTACCATCCTTGAAGTAAGGTATTTTGCTGTTTGGCTATTTTAATGCATTAAAGATGCAAAGAGTAACCTGGTACAAAACATTGTTTTGATGCAGCTAATTTAGCAGATAAATACCCAAAACCACTAAAAAATTTCAAGCGTATAGCCTACCTCATATATAACAATGTGCTAGAAAAGGCTCATTAGCTTTTTCTGTCTGTTGAACATTCATAACTGATGAGCAAGGCCTTAAGTAAATCAAAAGGGATGTATATTTGAAAACACAGATGGTGCCCTTTCATAATATTTTGGTTTCCAACATAAATTCGTATAACTAGCATGGTTGGCTTCTGGCTTTGGCATGAAGCTTGGCTCTCTCATCTCTTGAGTTTGTCCGTGGTGCATGGGAAGATTGGACCTGATGATTGATTTTTATCTCTTTGTATCTTTGAATCCTGCTTGGTATGTGATCACGCTATTTGATTTTTTCCCAGTTGTAATGAGCTGAATTCATCTTGACTACAAAATAACTACATTATCTAGAAATTTGCTGTACCCTTTTCTGAATACAACCAGTATTCTTTGATTTTTGGGTGGAGGATCTTCCTTGACACATTAAAATATTTACTAATATATTACCTTGGCACCCAATTACCTTCTTTACTCATTCATACCATCCTTTGTCCACCATCTTCATGATATTTTGTCTAGATTTTTACACAGTTGTTTCATGGTACATTTTAATAGTCTGCTGAGTCAAAATTGATCCATTATTAATTTGACTCAACTTACATTTGTATTGCTGTGACATATTAAAAAGTAGCATGTATGCTTTGATATTTGATCTAAGGATATTATGTAGCATAGGCATGCAAAAGCATTGTGGTGTAAACAGATTAGTGAATTAGTTTAGACACAATTGCATGACTAGCATGATGAAGGCATCATCTGCTTGCATGAAGCTTGTCTGTCATTGTATTGGCAAAAAAAACAACAACTTGAAATGTAGTTAACATGCAATGTTAAAATGTATCTATACACAAGATAGACCTGGTATGGTCTCTCTTGCCATGTTTTTTTTTTCTATGTTTTGAAAAAATCATAATGATATTCAGTAGACTGATTTGATCAAAGTGTTTTCCTTTTTTGAACATTTGCCACTACTTTTCAAATTAATTTACTCCCATTTAAATTGGTGGATGTTCTTTCTTTAAAAAGCCTGCTAAATAATTTCAAAAAGCAGAAAAACTTTTTTTCATCAGCTTGAAAAGTGTGAATTTTTTTCAGATGTGGCTTAATATGAACAAAAAATGTCTGCTACCTGCATTTTGGTTGGAAAGGGAGCTTCCATATCTTCTTTGTTCATTTGTTTATTTATTTTAATTAATTTATTTATTTATTCCCTCACCAGCCTTAGAGATTCCTGGTTTGTCACTTTTGCTTTCCATCATATCCCATGGATAGTGGCTTTATCCCTGCATGTGTAGTTTTTTTTGTTTTTTTTTCAAGACAGTCACTAATATAATTGACTGACAAATCCATCTTCACACCACAACAGTGTTAATTAAAATAAAGTTTTGAACTAGGCTGGTTAAAAATAATTTCTTGCTGACTTTTTGTTCGAGAATATTTCATGATGTGTCATTATTTCACAAATACTTTTTTCAGTGAAGTCAGTGTTTTGTTTGTTTGTTTGGATTAAATATACACTGTAAATATCAACTTAGAAGTGAAACAGTTGTGTAAATGTAAAAAAAAAAAAAGATCGCTTTTGGTGCCTGTGGATCTTATTATAAAAAAATACTAATAAGTATCTGTATCATTTCTCTTTTTCATCTCTGCCATTATTCATTCATTCTTCTTCCGCCGGTTTCCATTTGGTGACGCAGAGGGATGTAAGGGTTGCTTTACCATATATCTTTATATATATACATACACATAATATAAGCTTTATATTGTTTATATATCTTTCCTTGGCCATCTCGAGATGAAATAAGATCTGTTTATGATTCCTCAGTTAACATATATATGTATTAATCTGAGTTAAGATTTTTGGTTTAATGTTATACACAGACTGATACATGTAAGAACATTCTTCTTTATCTTTCTTCTTTCTGCTGCAAGATAAGTCTTACTTATATAAGTATATTTTGAAGACTATTTTGCAACTTGGAATAACATCCCTGTTAAGCAATGCTTTATGTTGATTGTTTTTTTTGGCTTTATCAAAGTTTTTTGTCCATTTTGACATGCTTCTGTTGGATGGCAAAGTTTCAGTTACTGTTTACCTTACTTAAGTACATTTTGTCTCTGTTATTATGTTTAAGTTTAATGTTCAAGTTTCATACGTGTAAAATCTTTTGGTTCCTGTGTGGTTTATTAGAAAATTTTCATATAATTTACCATTTATTTTCAAGAAATTTTATTTTCAATGCTTATGATATATCTGCAGTGTAACATGTCATGAAGTCTTCCAATTTCCATATAGTCATCATCATATGCCCTTCACTTAGGTTCGTGATCAAAGACAAAGAATCCTTTTTCACCAACGCTCAGCGTAGTCGTGTGGCCTATGAGATACTTGCAAGGATGAGATACGATGACACTGATAGAGACAAATTTGGTAAGCTATTGTTCCATCGTGAATGCTGGGATTGGAGGAAATTTTATGAAAGCATTTAAATTTTATTTTATGAAAAAAATTCATGAATACATCTTTATTTTTGAGCTCTTGGAAATGAGTTTATCTTAAGAGGTTCACTTTACTTGCTAATTTTGATTTGCTGGAGTTATATCTTTGCTTTAATTGTCAAAGGCATACTATACAGGTGACAAACAGGCGACAAATCGCTAATAAAAAGCTTATCTTTTAGGGATGATTTAAAGACATCAGTGATTTTGAATGAAATTACCAATCATTTTGCCAATGCACTTTACACTGCTTTAATCATTACAGGCATCAAAAGGTTGATAAATAATGGATCATTTGCAGCAGCTTACCCACTGCATGAGGTACTTGGTGTCTCTGTGTCTTTTTCTTCTTCTGTTATTTCTTTTTGTTATAAGTAGTAGTGTTAGTATTGAACTTGGACACATTATGCATTAAGTATTCACACAGTAAGTTTATAAGCTACAAATAACAATGTCAAAAACAGTAACAAATACAAAAATACAATAAGGTACATAATACATGAAGTGGAAATGAGCACATGCATGACAGGTTGACACATTGATTTTCCAAATGTTATACTACACACTGCAATACAACATGAAAATACAAATCAATGCAACACTTCACTATAAATTTAAACAAACGCATATACATAGTATTTGCTTAACCCTCTGTATCTTGACATAAGATAAATATTTTTAAAACTTCGGACTCTTCAGTAGTTTAAACATGTATATTATTTTTACTTTTTTTAGTTTATTTGATTTGCAAGTTCCTGGTATACAAAGTAAGTTTTAAAAACTTCCTGAAAAGAGTGCACTTCAGATTTTTATATGGAAGCCTTGTAATAATTTTCTGTCCGCTAACTGTTTTGGATTTTGAAATGTTTTTTCTAGGGCAAGTATAAGACGGAACATTCTGTGCTAACCTGGGGAGCTGACAATGAGAGAGTAGTAAGTTAACTTTGATAATGTAGTACAGTATTTCAATGCAGGTGTAGTTTCTCCTTTGAAAAGAAAGTAAATAATGTATTAAGGTTGAAATCTCTGCAAAGGTAGTCTGTTTTAGTTTGTTAAAAGTTGCACAATTTAAGAAAATATTTTAGATATTGTTATCAATTATGTGTTTCCATTGTTGATATCTGTGTAATTTTAGCTACTATTTGAAGAATGGGCCAGACCTGGAAGATGGTACAAATACCAGCCTTTGGATCTGATCAGGTGAGCTCTCTTGGTACATATACACATATGGTTTCTTTTTTTTTCCTTTTTTGGTGTGTGTGTGTGTGTGTGTGTGTGTGTGTGTGTGTGTGTGTGTGTGTGTGTGTGTGTGTGTGTGTGTGTGTGTGTGTGTGTGTGTGTTTAAGAAATTACATGCCTTACAGTTTTCTGTAAAATGCAAGATACACTTTTACAAATAATAATTTTCAAATAATTTAATTGTAAATTATAAAACTGCTTTTGCTTGTCCAAACTATATTTAAGTTGCTATTCAAATCAATTTATCTGCTCAAAACATTTTTCTAATGTTGCTTTTACTTTTCAGGAAATATTTTGGAGAGAAAATAGCCATCTACTTTACATGGCTGGGTTACTACACCATGATGTTGATTCCAGCTTCCATATGTGGCTTGGTGGTCTTTATCTATGGACTAGCTACTCTGAGCACTGACATACCAAGGTGAGGATTGCATAGACCTGCCCTGCTTAGACTTTGTGTATGTTTTGAGGGTGTTTTCCTTGGTTTATGATATGACTGAATAATATTGTTTCTTTTGTTTTTGTTGTTTCAAACACTAGATTCTCTTAATATGTCTTAGTAGTGAAGGCAAATGTTACCAAAAGTTTCTTGAAAAATTACATGGGACCAATTGCTCAACAATTTATATATTTATATGCCTTAGTTCCAAGTCAAATACAACACTGAACAGACCCACCAAGCCTTATGTGTTCACCATAAGATTTATTTACTTAACCAACTTTACATTACAAAAAGCATGTGGCAAGAAAAATAAATATGAGACTTAAGAAGAGTGTCATAAACCACAGAAACAAGTATCAGATTTTAAACATTAAAAATAATTATTTGTACAATGAAGCCATAGTTCATGTGTTCTGTATCACATCATTACTTACTGTATCACATCACTACCTACTAATGTCTGTATAACTATGCTGTAAGAATAGTCCTTATGGTTTAAGATATTGTTTTAATTCTAGCAATGAGATCTGTGACCGGAGTGGGCCAGGAAACATTACCATGTGTCCACTGTGTGACAAGAACTGTTCCTATTGGAGACTCTACTCCAGCTGCAGGTACTCCATGGTCACATACTGGTTTGACAACTATGGAACCATGGTGTTTGCTGTATTTATGGCAGTATGGGGTAAGCCAGTGGTGGAATACTTTTCAGTTGATTTTGTTTGTTTCTCTACCTCAGTCTTTAAACTTGATTTTCACTTTCTAAGTCCTGGTGATTTTGTATTTTAGTAAGATATAAAATCAAACTTCACGTTTTTAGAAAAATTCAAATAAATAGTCTAACAAACTGCCATCAGGTGAAATTATGAAATGAGGTCCCATTGTTTTTTAGCCACCATGTTCCTTGAAGGTTGGAAGCGGAAGCAGGCTGAGATAGAGTATGAGTGGGATGTGGCACATTTTGAGGAGGAGGAGGTAAGATGATGTACTGCCAGTGAGATAGAGTATGAGTGGGGTGTGGCACATTTTGAGGAGGAAGGAGAGGTAAGATGATGTACTGCCAGTGAGATAGAGTATGAGTGGGATGTGGCAAATTTTGAGGAGGAGGATGTAAGATGATGTATTGCCAGAGAGATACAGTATGAATGGGATATTTTGCCAGTTATGATCTAATGTATTATGTATTGATGGACCTCAATGGGCAATAAAACTTTCAAGGTCAGTTTGACCACTCTCATAAATGAATAAGAGATTAAATAATTATTGATCAATAAATAATTACCAAAAAGTTTATTTTTTTCTTTGACTGTGAAAACTTACATTTCTGTTCACCTTGCATTGTTATACCTATTACTTTCTGATTTGATACATGTTATATCTAGGAAACCGTGAGACCAGAATTTGAAGCTACAGTTCGCCACAAGAAGAAGAATCCAGTTACCCAGGTAAAACTTGTCTTGGACCAGAGAAAAATACACTGAATCGTAATTGTTAACAATTTATAATTATTTTCACATTTAACTCAAACTGCCATATAAAAAGATACCACAAGTGTCTCCAGTACAAAATCAATATATATCACAATCACACAGGCACACGCGCACACAATATTATATTAGTACATGGTAATCATACAATATTTTTGACTTACAGACAGATGAACCATTCCTTCCAGCATGGAGCAAGTGCTTTCGATATGTCACAGCGTTCTCTGTCATTCTCTTCATGGTTTGTATTTCAAATTTGAATATTAATGCATGCAGACTTTTTGAGGGACTATAACTATATATACTCTTTTTAATGTTTATATTTACCCCAACAGAATGTATTTTAAAATAGATTTTTATTTTATCAAGGGAAAATAAAAGCATCAAGTTTCTTTATTCTGTAGCTTTTGGGATAAGGGCTAACCTCTATGGTCCATCATAGGTTTGTTTTGATGTTGAAAGATTGTTCTAAAACAGTAATGTTTTGGGAGGAAATTAAGGGTCTAACCCCCCCCCCCCCCTCCCAATTCCTCAAGATGTGTGCTCTCAAAATAAACCCCTCTCTTCCCCCAGGTGTATCCCCCCCCCAAAAAAAAAACAGAAAAAAGTAAATGGTTTACTCTGATTTCAGCTGTGCTTGGTTCTGGCTGCTGTGTTTGGTGTGATCATCTACAGGATTGTCATAGTGACACTGTTCTACTCCACTCCTGACCAGCTGGTGGCAGAGAATGCAAGACTGGCCACCACAGCCACTGCAGCAGTCATCAACTTGGTGGTTATCATGATACTTAACAGGGTATGGACATAAAGTTCAATTTATTGGCATGTATACAGTATATATGTATATATAATAGGGTACCAGTATGGAAGTCACTTACAATGCAGTGTCACACTTAACACAGTGCAAAACGAAAAGTAGTTTTACAGCCAATAGGCTTTGAATTAAATGTTTCACACATTTAATATAAGTGATATGACAAATACAGTTTGTGTGACCTAGAGCACGAGTTACATTTAAGTTTTATGCCTTGTTCAGTTCAACAAGGTATCAGACGTATACCCTTTACTTACAGTGTGTTCTATAAAGACAACAAATGGTGCAGGACCATCATACTAAAACACTTATTGTGAAAATCAAACACCATGTCATAAAAACACACCATTTGCACCCGATTTAGTTGTGTTGCCAAATGGTTAAATTTTCTGCTGCAGTTTTATCATTTGGTTGCTGACAATATTCGCTATCGTCTCTTTTAGCTTTACCAATTCGTTGCACTTGGTCTTACAAACATGGAGCTCCAGAGGACACAGACAGAGTGGGAAGACAGTTTCACATTCAAGATGTTCTTGTTCCAGTGTGTCAACTTTTATGCCACACTGTTTTATATTGCCTTCTTCAAAGGACGGTAAGTGCACATTTTGACAATCGGTTTAGTAAGCTCTTTTATTGGAAAGTTTTGATTAAAAGGTCCATGCCAAGTATAAGGAAAAGCATGTTGTGATTAACTGTATTACATTAGTGTTAATAAAAAACATTGTTGTGATACAGTTAAAGGGATAATAACACTTCGTATGAGATCTATAGTTCACAGTAAAAAAAATGTGAATAACTCTTAGAAATATAATATATTCTGTTTTACCACAAAAACGACAGTTATAGCTTTTATTCTGATATCTGAGCTTGTCTTTAGACCACGTGACCTCCATTGATGGCTATACTCTGTTAAAATCTCTTAAGAGATTTTAACAAAAAACCAAACTTTTTAGAAAAAAACCAGGGACTAACTTTGAATGTAAAAATGGATTCATTAACCATTGGTCAGTATGGGAAAATTGTTGTTTACTCCAGGAAAATTCATTTTTTGGCCGAAACGAAGAGTTATTATCCCTTTAAGCATAAATTTTTGAAGATTTCTGTTGTTATTAGTACCACCAGCGTGTACGCTGGCGGTACTCATGGTTTTAGTCCCGACCCGTCTCGTCCGGCTCCGCCGGCTCCGTTGGCTCCGCCGGCTCCGCGTACTGGCGCCGGATACAAGTCACCGTTACCGCTTCTCCTCCTAGACCGCAAGGACCCCTGTCCCCATCTCTTGGATTTGGGTCACATATAACCTCAACTTGAACCCCCAGGTTTTTTTGTCTCAGTCGGTGCATTGACCTGGGCGTGACGCTCGTTGAAATGCACCCTTGTCAAAATTTTTGAAAATTCAATGCCAATTATCTACCCTACGGAAGGAATTATGGGAAAATTTTCTACAGACGGCTTTCCAAAAGTCATATGTGTAGATTTCAAATATGCCCTTAGATTTGACCTTTGACCTTTATTTCAAGGCAAACGGGCCAAAATATTCAAAAAAATGAAATTTTTTACGAAAAAAATATTATTTGCGCTGTTATTCAGACACTACCCAGACATAACCAATAATATTATTGGAAAGTGTTACCCTTTGGGTCATCTTTCACCTCTGTGAATTTGGGGTCAATCGGTGCCTTTTTACGGGAGTAGCGGCCATAAGATACCGAAACTGAAAACTGTCTCTAATTCGGGAACTGTTAATGCCAGCGACCCGTTCTTTTATTGCATTTTGTAGAGCATGTAAAGCCCAACATTGTAGGTGGTCTCCGTTTTTTTGTATTTCATACCGTTTTCGTGTTATGCTGTATTAAAAAGTACATTGTGGTGGCACATTATTGTAACTCAGAATAGTAACATTTAGTCCCTTATATCTCCAAAACTGGCACAGATAGGTCCGTAGTTACTATTGAACTTGAATAGGAAGTCATATACTGGCAATCTATATGTGACCTTAAAATTGACCTTTGACCTACTTTTCACCATGAACTGAACTTTGCAAATTNTTTAAAGAAAGGAGCAGTCTATAGGTCTTTTATGGCTGATCGAGTGATCTATTCAGTTTATCCCTTGGCATGTTGAATTTATTTGAGTCATATAAGAATCTAGTAGTAGTGGTTTACATGTGTTACTGGGTATCCAAGCTCCACCGATGCTCGGTTCGTATGTACCTTTAAAATTAGACGTTATAATTTAAATTTGAAATGGCCCATATGAGTCATCTTGAAAACTGACAGAAATCTTGTCTGTGATTAAAATTTTGATTTAGTAACTATTATTATTATTATGATGTTGGCAACGGAAGAAAAGAAGCCTTGAAATTTTGTTTTATCTTCAATGTGTGTATATGACCATATTATTTTAGTGCAATGTGAAATTGGAATGTATTGTTACAGTATAATATAAGCAGGATGAACCTTAAATTAAAAATTGCCACAAAAGCCAACCAAATGCCAGCATGTAGTCTCAAATAGTATAACTAAGAGAATTACCAAAACACATTATTTAATACTAAAAATGATATTTTTCTGCTAGTTTTCTTTGCTGTATATGAATGGCCCAGGGGCAGATAATTAAGTAAGTGGGTTAAATTCACGACCAAAATTTTTAAGAAAGGAACCGTTTAAAGCTCTTTTATGGTTGAGTGAGTGATTTATTTAGGTTTATTCCTGGCATTTCCGATTTAATTGAGTCGTATAAGAAACTAGAAGTGGTTTATATGCATTACTGTGAATCCACGCTCCACAAATGCTCGGTCCATATGTACCGGTACCTTTAACACTTTCACATTTAATCATTAGAATGTGTAAAAGGTGTTGAAATCTGGTTACAGGTGCACAGAATGGCTAAAGGTGTAAATTTATCCACCTTTCCCCATTTTGTCAGTGTGGTTTTGAGATTTGCAGTACTTTGGCCAAGAATTTCTACATGCATTTTTGTTCCCTTTTTTCTTAAAGATAATTTAAATTTATGATTTACCTCACCATTTTTAGTGTAAGACAATTTGTTGTGTAAATTAAGTGACCACTAGTGAGATTGTATAATTTTTCAGACAAAACTTGTGACCAAAGAAGCGGATGGCACCCTTACACTAGAGACCTCTGGTGGACAAATTACTGGCATAACGTGTCTTATTTGGGCAATAGGAAGGATACCAAGCACAAAGTTTGGTGTGGAAAAACTGGTCAGTTGTCTCTGTTGCATGCCCCTCAAGCACAACTCTTGTTTTACCTGAGTAAATAAATAAATAAAGATACAGATCATAATTGTACCACCAGCGTTAGCGCTGGCGGTACACATGGTTTTAGTCCCGTCCGGTTTGTTCTGCCGGCTCCTGCGGCTCCGCCGCCATGTAATCGTTACCGCTTCTCCTCCTAGACTACAAAGGCCTGCATACCCATCTCTTGGATTTAGGTCACCTATAATCTCAACTCGTTCCACGTAAAATTTGGGCTTTGTCGGTATTGGGGTCTAGGTGTGGCACTCATTGCAATGCACCCTTGTCTAAAAATGGCAAAATTAAATGCTAATTATCTACCCTACGGAAGGAATAATGGGAAAAATTTCTACAGATGGCTTTCCAAAAGTCATATGTGTAGATTTCAAATATGCCCTTGGATTTGACCTTTGACCTTTTTTTCAAGGTCAAATGGGCCAAAATTTTCAAAAAAAATGAATTTTTTTTTTCAAAAAAAAAATTATTTACCCTGTTATTCAGACACCACACAGACTTAACCAATAATATTATTGGAAAGTGTTACCCTTCGGGTCATCTTTCATCTCCGTGAATTTGGGGTCAATCGGTGCATTTTCACGGGCGTAGCGGCCATAAGATACCGAAACTGAAAACTGTCTCTAATTCGGGAACCGTTAATGCTAGAGACCCATTCTTTTTTGCATTTTGTAGAGCATGTAAAGCCCAACACTGGTGTGGTCTCCGTTTTTTTGTATTCCATATGGTTTTCGAGTTACGCTATATCAAAAAGTACATATTGGTGGTGAAAGCAAAATGTACAGTACGGTAATGGATAATAAATGTTGAACTCCGGAAAAATAAAACATAAGGCTTGGCAAAGCAGACAACTTGTTGTCAAAAATGACATTATTTCATAAAATTTGAACATCTGGAACTTCAGAACACCTCCCATTTCAAGAATTTTGACCAAACTGACATTTTCTTAATTTTATTTAAATTTTTCTGTAGGAAATTTATGGCACATTATGGTAACTCCAAAATTATAACATTTAGTCCCTTATATCTCCAAAACTGGCAGATAGGTCCATAGTTTCTATTGAACTTGAATAGGAAGTCATACACTGGCAATCTAAATGTGACCTTAAAATTGACCTTTGACCTACTTTTCACCATGAACTGAACTTTGCAAATTTTTCTTCCCTTTTATCTCCAAAACTGGCAGAGATAGGTCCATAGTTAGTATTGAACTTGAATAGGAAGTCATATACTGGCAATCTAAATGTGACCTTAAAATTGACCTTTGACCTACTTTTCACCATGAACTGAACTTTGCAAATTTTGCTTCCCTTTTATCTCCAAAACTGGCAGAGATAGGTCCATAATTATTATTGAACTTGAATAGGAAGTCATATACTGGCAATCTTACTGTGACCTTGAAATTAACCTTTGACCTACTTTTTATGATGAATTGAACTTTGCAAATTTTGGTTCCCTTTTATCTCCAAAACTGGCAGAGATAGGTCCATAGTTACTATGAAGTTGAATAGGAAGTCACATACTGGCAATTTACTGTGACCTTGAAATTGACCTTTGACCTATCTTATGATGAAGTAAACTTTGATTGTAACTTTTTTAGTTATATATATTTTTTGCATGTTTTGAAAATTCTTGTTGATTGCATTTTTACAGCTTGTCAAGCACAAGACTTGTGGCTGTGTCCCTTATTTTGTGTATGTGGGGGTCTATACGAATGCGCTTACTCCAGCTGGTGGTACAATATTCGGAGGCAGTATCGCCTCTCTGATCCTCTAGTTAAACTGAGAAATTGCAAACAGCACAAAAGCTGAAGGCTGTGAAGTCAATGGCTTGCCGTTGGATTTGCAATAAAATAATTCATTTTTATTAGAGCATTTTTTACTTTTTAGGGTTGTATACCCTGAAATACCCTGAAATTTATAGTTACAAGTGATAATATCTAAATGGCATTCCTTCAAGAAAACCAGTTGCAGTGCCCCATAGTATTTACATGTGTATTTACTATTTGCTGTTGAAAATTTCTGGTATGAAAACATCAAGAAATGGAAAACAGCACTTTCTCAAAACAACCACTGATATGACGTCATCAGCTTAATGAGCATACTTTTTCTGAAGACTACCCATGAATATTATATGATAATATTATAACAACCAGTTGTAGACTATAGAACATAGTTTTTATTAGCCTGGTTTCGTCTAACAGGGTTTATAAGTAAACCTAAAGTGTAGTCAGTGATGACTGAAACTGTCTGAGGAAAGCTGTACTTTTCTTAGCTATCTAGAATCGATATGCTTAACAAATTTAGAGTTTAAGGCCCATTCCCAGTAAAACTAACATTCTACGTAGATCAATCCAACTCTGCAGGGACTCCTGCTGAATGCAATCAGATAAACAGATAAACACCCCTCCTCCTGGCATTGACTTGAATACAGAAAAACTGGTGATTATGTTAGTATGTTGGAAACAACAGGACAGATAGATCAGACTACGTAGAACAATAGTTTCATTGGGAATAAGTCCTCAAGTTTTACCTTCGTAGACCTTTTTCTGTGAAATAAACCAGCGAACTTTGCATTCTTACTTCAGGGCGTTCAAATGGACAGCAAGGGGCACATCATTGTGGACGAGTTTCAAAACACATCTGCTAAGGGGATATATGCTTTGGGCGACGTCTGTGGAAAATTCCTGCTTACTCCAGGTATATATAATTACTTGTTGCACTGCAAAACCTGCCCTTCACACCCCAGAGTGGCAAAGTCTAGCAATCTAGTACACATACTGATAGCTGTCTCATTAAAGACTGCTGTGTGTTACACACTAATGAGTTACTGGAGTTTTACTATTTATCTTGGAAAAATAAATTCATTTTGGCATGAAAAGACCTCTTCTGAAATAAAATTATATATATATATATATATATATATATATATATATATATATATATATATATATTTTTTTTTTTAACCTGCCATTACATATAATGTGCATTATTTCATTTTTATTTGATAAATTATGTGTATGTCCTTAATATAGAGATCTTTAAGTAGAATAACAATTTTGGTATGACATTTGTAGTTGCTATAGCAGCTGGCAGGCGTCTTGTCCATCGACTTTTCAATAATGAGAAGGATCTGAAATTGGTATATGAGAACATCGCAACAGTTGTATTCAGCCACCCACCCGTGGGAACCGTAGGAATGACAGAAGGTGAGAGGGAGGAAACACTGTCTACTGTGTCTGTCTGTGTGTGCATGTGTGTGTGCGTGTGTGGGACTGAGTGTGCGACAGTGGTTGCTGGACTTTACTGTTATATCATTTCCATGATATTTTATTTTTTGTTGGGATTTACTCAATACATACATTGACTTGCACTACTAAGCTTAGTACAGATCTGTTCTTTTCCTATGTCTCCCTTTCTTCCTTTTCCGCCACTTCTTATTGTACCACCAGCGTTAGCGCTGGCGGTACACATGGTTTCGGTCTCGTCCGGATCGTTCCGCCGGCTCCGCCGGCTCCGCCGGCTCCGCCGGACGGCTACCGTTACCTCTTCTCCTCCTAGACGGTAATGCCCCCCATACCCATCTCATGGATTTAGGTCACCTATAATCTCAACTCGTTCCACGTAAAATTTGGGCTTTGTCGGTATTGGGGTCTGGGTGTGGCACTCATTGCAATGCACCCTTGTCCAAAAATGGCAAAATTAAATGCTAATTATCTACCCTACGGAAGGAGTTACGGGAAAAATTTCTACAGACGGCTTTCCAAAAGTCATATGTGTAGATTTCAAATATACCCTCGGATTTGACCTTTGACCTTTACTTCAAGGTCAAATGGGCCAAAATTTTCAAAAAAATGAAATTTTTTACGAAAAAAAATTTTTTTGCCCTGTTATTCAGACACCACACAGACTTAACCAATAATATTATTGGAAAGTGTTACCCTTCAGGTCATCTTTCATCTCCGTGAATTTGGGGTCAATCGGTGCATTTTCACAGGAGTAGCGGCCATAAGATACCGAAACTGAAAACTGTCTCTAATTCGGGAACCGTTAATGCTAGAGACCCATTCTTTTTTGCATTTTGTAGANTAGTTACTATTGAACTTGAATAGGAAGTCATATACTGGCAATCTAAATGTGACCTTAAAATTGACCTTTGACCTTCTTTTCACCATGAACTGAACTTTGCAAATTTTGCTTTCCTTTTATCTCCAAAACTGGCAGAGATAGGTCCGTAGTTACTATTGAACTTGAATAGGAAGTCAAATACTGGCAATCTATATGTGACCTTGAAATTGACCCTTGACCTATCTTACGAAGAACTTAAATTTGATTGTACCATATATATTTTTTGCAAAAGTTTAAAAATTCTTGTTGATTGCATTTTTACAGCTTGTCAAGCACAAAACTGGTGGCTGTGTCCCTTATTTTGTGTATGTGGGGGTCTATAAGAATGCGCTTGCTCCAGCTGGTGGTACAATATTCGGAGGCGGTATCGCCTCTCTGATCCTCTAGTTTATTATTGCATCAAAATTGACAAAATGACCTATTTTGCATCTTTATTTTCTGTTTTTTGTCTGTACATTTGACAGCTTTGCTGCCTTGTTATATATATATTATATATATAAAAAAATATTCTGCTTGTTGCTTAAGGCCGATATCAATGTAAAGGTGAATGGTGTCACATGTACATCATGCATCATTGTATGTGTATTATATATATTTTGTGATAAGTGCCTGTTTAATGATTGATTGACAATGGCAGATCCAAGGGGGGGGGGATATTTTTTTTTTTCTTTTGAGGAGGGGAAGTGTTGACATTTGCCCTTTTGGCCTATTAGCCAAAGTGTTTATTTTCCCTTTTTAGGGAAGGGATGTGAAGGGGGGAGGGAGGTGAAGGATCCCTTGGCTCTGCTTAATATGACTGACTAAAGATGTGTGATGGAAGGAAATTTGATTGCTTGACATTTTATGAATTGAAGGTTATGGAAAATGTAACACTATGCTGTGCAGTCAAGTTATATTACTGTCCTTGATTTTAAAAAATATCCAAAATCATCATTTTAAATGTCATCTGATGCATCAATTAAAGCTGGTTATTTGATTTTCAGCTGCAAATTCTTGAATGAACCTAAATTTTGTTTAGAATCAATTTTTAGCAGAATCTTGAAGGGGGAAAACTTGACTGCAAAGAAGCTGATACATTGCAAAATTCACTTTGTGATGTTGGATGTGGTTCTGTTGACTTCTTTCAAATAAATATTCCTGTTTTGCATGATGGTTCATTAACTGCAGTAACACTACATGTCTATTACTACAGTACTAAAGATAATAAACTGTATATACAGGTACATTTAATTCTGGAAAAACCTTATGCTGTCTTCTAATTTCTTCTGTGAATATTTGATAATAGCTTATTTTAGTGGGTTGTAGTAACAATTGATTTGCCTCAAGTGTCTACAGTGCATTTGTTTTGAATGGCATCATCACTGTGGAAATTTTTTCTACATATTTTAATGAATATATTTTTTGTCATACATAAATGCATGGTGGAAAGATATAAATTAACTTTAATGAACTATAATGGACTGAAGACATTGATAGGAAATTGACCAAAAAGGACAGGGGGTTAATTTGTCCAGCAAATGTTACTCTCTCTTGACTCCTGATTTTTCTACTCAGGTCCTGTTAAAAGCAAATAGCTGCATGTGATGTAAAGTGACAGTGGTACGCATGAATGAAGTGGAACAGTCTACAACTGTTTGCATTTCTAAAAATTTAGTTCTTACAGCTTTTTTAACAAACAAGCATAGATATTTGACATCTTCAGTTTTAGTTTGTGCTATATTTTATTTTTTGTTTAGAATAAAGATGCCTGACTACATACAACATAAGCTGTTGCTATATCTTAGAATAATGATTATGCACAGTAGTTGATTTATTTTTAAAGTTCTTATAATTATAGCTTTTTAGATAGTCTTGGAGCAGCATTAACTCTTGCTTGAAATCAGCATGTAGTCAGATTCAAGTATTTTATTTAATTATGCAGTCAGAATTGATCTAACAGATACACTGTTAAATGAGAGATTGGTAGAAGTTAAGTTTTGTGGTCAGGCTCCCTTGCATTATTTTTATTTTCTTTCCTTTTCTTTTACCTCTTTTTTCCCTATTGGGAGGATAAAGATGTTCTTTGCATTGTGGAAAGACTATGTTTTGTTTGACTGTGTATTTATTGGTTTGAATACAGGTATTTTAAATGTGTGCATGCACAGAGACAAACTGATCTGATCCCTTCAAGAGAACTGAATTATATCATATTATACTGTTATTATAACTTAAATTTTAAAATGTTTTTTTATGTGCTGGCTTTGATAAATTGTAACAGACTACTAGTCACTGCATTTATTTCTTTAACTTTTTGCACTGACTTATTTAATGGCTTTTCACCAGCAACTTTTTTATTGCATAATTCCATTGGATTTATTGATGGTTGACCAGCCTTCACTTTTACACTCTTAATTGTTTTCTGTCACCGTTTTATAGGAATAAGAACTGTAGACCAAAAGTGGGTGCAAGTAACACAAGAACAATTACAATACTGCCACACGTTTGAGATGCACACAAAATATGTTTGACAAGATGATGTGACACTAGTTGCACTTTTAATAGAATTCCAGTTTTATTTGCACCCTGTTTCAAATTAAAAAAAAAGACATTTTTTTAATAAGACGCACTGACTGTAATGCTGTTTTGAATTTAAAAAATACTAAATGACTGTTGGCAATATTTGGACTATAAGCACCTCTTTTTTTAAATGCTCTTTATTGTTTAACTTTTTTGAATACATTTTGTTTTGAATTTGGATATCTGTAAATCACAGTTGTGGTGTTTGCAGTACTGTTTTTAATATTTTAAGTCAGTAACATCTTTTTATTCAATTTTTCACCTAACTGCAATTCATTATATATATACTGCTAAAAACCAAAATGGCCCATTTGGAGTATTTAATGTTTGTTAGGAACTAAAAGAAAATAAGCCAAAAAGGGAAACAAAAAAACTGAATCGTATTAGCTGAACATAATTAATTTTTGATTCACAGTAATTTTTGCTTTTTTTACTTGCAGCACAAGATGGCAAAAAGTGATGAAGTAGAAGGAAAGCGGAAAGTAGTGTATTGTGGGTAAAGAACAAAGTGAAAACATTCCGTCCATCAAGTGTTCACACATACCAAGGGATCAGCAGTATTTTGTATATATTAAATCTCACAAAACATTATATTTGTTATAAAACTATTTTGGAGTTATTTTTAAAGGGCCATGTTGGATAGAAGAATAATAATTTCAAGTACAAAGTTCTGGTGAGAATAAAGTTCAGGACTTGATCTGGGATATTACTCATCAGATTATATTTCACTTTCTTTATTTGCATGTAAATAAAACTCTTCTCAAGTTTGTAAATTATCGGCTGATTTTTATTTACTCTTTGCCATGGAAAATGTAATATAGGAAAGTTGAAAAGTAAATGTTTCATGTATAAAAAATCATTTTAAGATTTTTCTGTGCTCCCTTGCAGACTGTAGTTAAATCACTTGTAAAAGAAAAAATTCTTACAAATTCACTACAATAATTCTATCACTGTTTTGTAATATTTCATTTGCTTAACAGTCAAGTTTGAAGGTATTATGCCAAATAATCTATATTTTTGTTTTAAACAAAATGTGCAAAACACTTCAAATAAGATTATCATAATTCACCAAAAATACTATCAGAATTAGTACATGTCTCAATAAAAACAGCAAAATATTAATTTTTGCTGATGATCACAACAAAACTCAAAATTTAATGTGCGTAGTGCTTCAATTTGTGTCATGGACTGGCTAGAATGTACATGAAATAATATATGAAAAATACAAGTTTTAATTCTTTGATATCACACTGAGGTTATATAAAAATGGACGGATTATTTTGCAATTACTGTAGTATCAATATAATTGTATAAATCTAATCCAGGTCACTAAAGGCATTTCTGAGATTGCATTAATACTAAATGGTACCTCAAAATATTGAAATCATTCACTCATAAAATGTTACCAGCAAAAGCAAGTACATCATAAATCAGTTATCACAGCATTTAAAATCTGCATAAAAAATCGACTGACTCTTAAATATACATTAAATGGAATTGACTATTGTAAGCTTGTACAAAAAAAATCCTTCAAATGGCAAAGCTCACCTTTTTCCTTCTAGGAAAATTAAAAATTATGCCTCACAACCCTGTAAAAAGTAGAAAAAATAGTTGCCCATCAGGCAAACATAACAGATGTATCTTCATTGTTCCTAGCTGCCACACGTCCCCAAGCAATGTTCATGGCTCAATAAAACAAAAATATGCTAGAACTAGATTTGCAAAACAAAGTGATTCTTATTCATGTTCTTTGCAAGACAGCATCCAGAAAGCTGTTGGACCTCACTAAAAGTTATTTGTTCTCACTGAGAGTTACCAGTCCTTGCTCAAAGCTACCAGTCTTCGCTGAAAGCTACCGGTTCTCACTGAAAGATACTGGTCCTCACTGAGAGCTGCTGGACCTTAGCCTCATTTGGTATAGCCTCTATAATACTGACCTGAGTCAGTCACAAGGATCAACAGCAAGTTGTCAGTCATTCCTTTTGACTGCCAGGTCTCTGAAAAAGCTCCATTAAAATCTTGGTCCCCATTTGAAGAATTTCTGTTGACAATTCCACCTGTCACCAAACCTGAGCAGAGCCCTGCATTTGGAACAGGTGCTGCTTGTAAGCTGGAGACAACATGTCACAGCTCTTTAAGCACTGGTGAAGGTTGTATTCAAACTCTAGAGGGTAGTCCTCTGAAATAAAAAACATATTTTATGTATAATATTTTCGAAGATATCTTAAAACCATAAAAAACGGAGATTTAATGTGGTCGATCTACATGTAGTCCCAAGTTTTTTGGTTGAACTGAATGGGATGTGGAGATATTTAAATTGATCCAAAAGTATTTGCATAAAGTATTAATAGCAGCTTAGACACTTAAACATTGGTATTCATCTTCAAGAAAATGTTATTGACAGGCAGATCAAATGGTTTTAATGAAGTGTTTTCCTGTGCATAATTTGCTTACAACACATTGTTTTTTCACACACAAACCCAATTCAGAGTGATTTACCTATGGAATTCATAACACGTAAAACCTACGAAATGATATCATCTCCTAGCACTTCATCCTTATTATTAAATACATAATACTAAATATCACCCTAAGTTCCAGAGGTTCATGGTTATTGCCCTCCATCTAATGTAATACTTTTTATAAAATCTGAATGTGGAAAAAAACTTTAGCTGAATCTGCACATTGGGGTGCAAACCCCGCTTACCCTCCCAACATTTAACTCCAATGTATTAAATACATTAATAATCAGTTCCTTATTCACCTCTGGTGATCCACTTGTCTTGTGCTACATAGGTGACAGCAGGCACACAATATTGTGCCACTCCCAGGGTGCTGGGATCTGAGCTGTTACACATCCACACTGGGACCATCACATGTTCATAGTGCTAGAAATAGAGGACAGTCATTTTACTCAATAAGTCCAAATAAAACAATTTCATTTAATAATTTCCACAAGGCTATGATTTGTTAGTAATACTAATAATTTTTTTTAATTTAAAGCTTTTGTAAAGTTAACTGGATTTGTGACCTAACGTACAATAAGTAATTAAACTAAAATCATAAATCTTGAAAAAAAAAATCACATACAGAACACAAACATGCAACTCACTTAATCATAAAATTAAAGCACTTTTCCATACAATATCTGTAATACATGCTAGTTAGAGTAACTAATAAAGGTATAAAAGATATATAATAGATCATCAGGCCTACCTCAGGATAGCCAGTACACTGGTCCAGCAAGGCCAGCTCTGACTGTGTAATAGTATACACTACACCCTCCACTGAGGAGAACGGATTGAACTCTATATTGGGAAAGCCTCCAGCTTCAATATCAGCACCTGTAATGACATATCATACATCTAAAAACATGCACATACACAAATACTATACTGAAATATTTAAATCAATAGGTTTTTCCAAATTTGTCACTAATTTGGTTTAATAAATTAATTTAAGGTCAACAAAAATATGCCTTTGTGATGGTAGATTCTCCAATGTGCATGTGAGATGGAGCCAGAATATCAAGAGCAAGAGGGGGGCAGGATGGGGGACTTGCCCACTTAAATCACCATCCACTGGATCCACTAATGACAGACATATTCAATCAAAAATCAAGGAAAGTGTTATTCAAATTTCAAACCTTTCTTTATACCCCTCCCCAACTACTTTAAAGCAAATTTAAAACATCTTAAAACTTTCTTTCACCATGTTGCTATATTTAAAGATATGTTTGAACTTTGAAGTATTTTCTGAGAAATAACCATGTAAGAACACACCCTGGAGTTGAAAACAATTATACCTCTCTTGTTAAACTTGAGCTGGAATCCAAACAAGAGTCCCCATAGTCTAGTGCAGGCCTTTTTCCTAATATAAGTTCCAAATCTGAGAAATAAAATTATAAAAACAACTTATTATAATAATCTATTTTAGCTTCTAATGTTACATGTTAACATTGTTCGCTGCCTATGCTACTTTTAAGATTCAAATTAGTACAGTTGGCATTCATAGTGTACACAATTTACACAATTTAAATTGACAAACCTAAGCAAGTTCTTCTCAAACTTTAATCTTTTATATTATAAATCATACCTGTTTGGATTCATGTCTGTGCCATAGGCAAAGTAGTACATGTGTCCCTCTGGTGGCTTGGCATTGATTCGGAAACAGATGGGTGGGTATGGAGCCACAGGGGTATGGTCATCTTCCAAATTTTTATCACACCTGAATAGGAGATATTTTATAATCATGACAAATTCTAAAGATGACCTATCTTACATTTTATATACATAATTTCTGATTTACTTGGTGTCCAGGTATGCTACAAATAGTAAAGAATATAATCTATGTAGAACTATAAGGGGTGTAATTTGGGCCATTTCTTTGTTTTAGTTGATCTGTTAAGTTGATATAGGGTGAAAAAGAAAAAGACAGATCTACATCCTTGGAAGACGACTCTTAGCTTAACTTTGAACTGCAAGTTTTGTCTAATAAGCTATTGCACAGTGTGGTCAAACTTACCTAGAAGGAGCAGAGAGTGTCTTGGTTGTGGCTATCACCTTCAAGCCTGTCACATCTGGGCGGCTGAAACAAATGAAAAGACCCATGAATTCATAAACATCGGACAATTACAGAAATATACTTTTCTATTCTGTCAGTAAAGAAATAAATAACTGCTAACTTTACTTTTTATGTCTTCTCCACATCACTGTATTCTCTGCTATATTCTCTGAGAAATGAGACAACTGGCAACCCTTTATTGGCATTCAGGAATATTGATTTCAATCTATGTCACATGGCAACGCATAAGATGTTAATCTTACTTCACAGTGGTCTACCAAATTATTCAATACTAAATGAATTTATTACACATTTACTGCTAAACTTCAGCTTAAGTCTGGGATTTTGGATATGCTAACCTTCATGTTCATGTATTTAGCATTTACATGTCATTGAATAGCCAAAAAGTTTACCCAATTAAGTGTGATCAACACAGACTTGATGAGAAGCAATATTGATGTGGCATGTCTGGTTGCTATAACAATCACATATTTTATTGGGCTAATTTGTCATAATTGCTCAAAGCATGTAATGTAAGTGGCTAAGGTTTAGTGAACCATGATTGAAGAGACAGCCTAAGAATTATTGATTTTCTCAAATTATCTAATAAAGATGTCATTTCATGCAATGCCATACATTGAAAAAAGAAGAAAGAAAGGATACTTCAAAATTAATTTTTCAAATTCTCAAAAAATCTATTAAAAAGTTGAATCATTATAACAATGTCAATCAACATATTTTTTTTAATCCAAAAATCAAACATGACAATCTATGAGTAGCTTATAAGAAGATTTTGTAAATCAGGGTAAAAATTCACTAGTAAGCTTAATTTACCTGTCTTCTTCAGCTGGTGTGGAAACCTGAAAACAAAAGCAAGAAATATGTTAAAACAATTTTATGCATAAATATTCATCATATCAACCTTTAAGATATCACGGTTTTAAAAAGGATAAATGAAAAAATGTAACTCACAAATGAAGGCACGTGAAAAATTATAATAATACATATTGACACGAAATCAAAGTTTAAATACCTTGTTTTTTGATTCAGCATCATCTTTATCAACTACTGAATCAGCTGCACTGCCTCCTCTGCTCAGCCCTTCATAATCATCAAGCAAGCTTTGCTCCACCTCTGAGCCACACCCACTGTCACTGACATTATCACACGATTGGTTCCAAGCCAATGATTGACAGCTTTTAGGCTGATCAGATTGAGAAGTCTTCCTTTCATGGATTGAAGTCTCAGCAGACCCTTGATTTCTCATAGCCGTTTCCCTGGCAACTAAATCAATGGTATCCATCTGCTTTTCTTGTCTTGAGGAATACAAGACTTTTTCTTCAGTAATCCCATCTTGTTTCCTGCTGCTAAGAAAAACGACTGTGTCTTCAGCACCATCATTATGTCTGTTGGAGTTGGGGACGACAAGGCTGCTGCTCATCTCAGCACAATCTGTGCCACCTGTCATGCACTTGTACCTGAAAATAGTGGCTTTACACTTAGACCTTTTATTAGAATCAGTAATGAATGACATCATTGTTTCACTGTGTGTCACTTCACAAGAGAAAGAAAAAAATTAGCATTTTAAGTATGGACAACGAAACAAGAGAGCTGAAACAAAATCAATTTAATTGACAATTTGTACAAAAGGAAATCAAACAGAAGAACACTTGTACATTCAGTAATTATATTTAACAGTACAAAAAATTATACCTGTATGATGCCAGAAGCCTCTTGCAATCAGTAGACATCCAGAATCTCTCAGTATCTTCCCTATAGGAGGCAGCACCTCCTGAGATCACCTCAGGTGCCATTTCCTTAATAACAGAATCAATATCAAGCTTCAACATGTCTGGGTCTTCCATTCCTTCAATATCATATTCTCCCATAGAAAAGGATGACTCAATAATTCTGTTCATTTTCTCTAACCCTACACACTTTCTGTTGATATCCAACTGGACCTGTGATAGGGAATTTTCCATTTCCTCTAACGTTAATATTGTATCAACATTTTCCGACTCCGCATCCGATTCACCGCTGTCCTCATAGATCCCCAGTTCATCATCATCAAAGTCTTCCAGAATTTCATCGTGAGCAGCTTTGGCAATTTCTCCATGGTTTGACTTTAAAGTACTGTTTGGGCATATGCACATGTCAGCTTCAAGGCCACATATACCACAGGTCCCCTCATATGTCTCATGATCCATAGTATAGGCTCTGCCACAGCCTTCATCATCAATGTTGCTGAGGTCTATATGAAGGTTAGCTCGGCTTGACTCCCTGGTGCCATGACCAGTTCTAGAGTTGGACATTGGATCAGAAACCCTTGAACTGTGCAGAAATATATCCCCCTGTTTCAGATGCAAGTTCTCCTTTTTAGGTGATAGCTTCTTTTGTTGACAACGTGTTCTGCTTCTTCTGCCTGTTTTCAGCTGCTTGTTTTCTGCTCCTGTGGGAGGCTTTGAAACTGTGGGTTTAAGACTATCAACTTTTCTTGGACTTGATTTCTGGCTTTTTGAGGTTGAAACCCACCTCTGATCTTTTTCAGGACTTCTTGGTCTATCCGGGGAAGTAAAACCAATTCGACTTCCAGGACGCTTGCCTGCTGATGAAGATGATCCAGGCCTCTGTGTTCTCCTTGGGGAAGCTCTTCCTTGATTCTGACTGGATGAATTACATTTGTTGGCACCAGCTGATAAAGGTCTTTTTCTTAAACTGTCCTTTTTCCCACTACTAGGTCTAGATCTCACATTCATCGAAGCACTGTTTGGCCTCCTGGTGAATTTTTGATAGTGATTTTTATCAATCAAAAACTGCGAGAACTGCAGGGCCATTTCCGCATGCCCTCTTATGTAGGACTGAAACTGTTCTTGGGTTATCACATTTGGATTTTGCTTTTCGCTTTCATCAATCTTCCCACTTAGCTCTGACCCACTTTCTTTTCTTTGGTTATCAGTATTTTGTTTTCCTTTACTGTCACAGTCACTGTTACCACCGCCTTTCGTATCAGTGCCTCCATTTACTTGATCAGTAATACTGTTGTTACCACCAAAAGCAGGTGCTTGTGTCCTACATGTGGAACTTTTACCATCATTTTGGTTACTAGGGTAATGACTTAAGTCATCATCATTATCATCATCCCTGTCTTTCTTGACACTCTCATCTACCACATCATCTTTACAACTGACTTTCCCCGAGGATTTCTTGTCATCTGTTTCTGACTTTTCCTCCACTGCTACTTCCTTTAAACTTTCAATACCAGCGACTCCCTGTGAATCGGTGGTTGTCTCACTGTTTGGCACACTGTGTTCTGCTCCTGTGTTTACATCATTTTTCTGACCTTGGTCTTTTTCTTTTATTACATCTCCTTGTTCTGAAACCTTACTGTCATATTTTTCATTACTAGACTGGGCAGTGTCACTGTGACTTAGACCTTGAGGGCTAGTGACCTCTGACTGTTCAATAACCAGAGAGGAGGTCACTTGCTGTACAAGCATATCACCTCCAGCTTTTGTGTCAGCCTCTGAGCTGAAATCCTTAAAGCGAACGGTCTTGGCAGACCCTCTCCTTCCAATTTCTTCATTGGCAGTCACTGGACGATTGGGGTCTCGGAGAATAGTTTTGGCACTTCCTACTCTAGGTTTTTGCTGGTTGGTAACTGTTACGCCAAGGACTGCTTCAGTTGGCACCTGCATGTCTTGTTCTGGGCTTTCCTTTATTTGGTGAAGATTGTTGATGTCTGATTCTAGAATTTAGAAGGAAAGTTGTGTGACTACAAAATTGAAAGTTCATGTGCAGTGGTGCCTGAATCAAAAGTTTTCATGGATTGTGTACAATTTCCCTCTAAAATTTCTAAATTACACCACTAATATCTTTCTACAATCTGGACAAATAATAAAATCACTGTCCATGGATTAAGATAAATGCAAAATAAAAATAATAATAAAATACAATATTAATGTAATTAATTAACTGTTTTTATAAGAGCAATTTAACAATTAGATACCACATCAGTAAGTGGTATCTTACCTTTTTCTTGTTCTGCTGTCATAAGATTTTCTTCTGACATTTCAGCACCTTAAGAAATTGAAAGCAAAGTTAAACAGATTGACATTTTTCAACAGACAGGAAACAATTGCAACAGATAAACTAATATATCTACAGCATTTAACTTAAGAACTTGCAATTAACACAAACACCCTTGTGCAAAATACCATTGGGTTTTTTATTTCATTTTCTTCCATGCGCTTCTTTTACACACAAAAAAACTTACTTCCCTTTCAAAAGGTGTGTCCAATAATGGCACAACTTATATAAATATCCTAATACTGATAGCACTCGATGACATAATAACATATCAAATCAAGAAGTTCCCTATTAGGCAATATAGTCAACTGCATGTGGTGATAGATAAACAAGCATTTAGACTATATTGTGCTTATGTTAGACTACTTCTAAACATATCCCTAAACCAATGGTTCTTCTCTTTTGGTCATTACAAATTATTTACCTGGTATATGAGACATATCAACATTGTATCCATTTGGTGGCACCACATTCTCATCTAGTTCAACATCATAATCAACATAGTCTTCATCTTCTGGTCTAGAATTATGAAATAACATTTGAATGTTATATGAAACTCTGGCAAATTAAACCAAGCATTTTCTTTCTTTCTTTCTTTTTTTTTTTTTTTTTTTTTTTG